ATGAATTATTTTTATGATTTGTCGGTGTTACTTAATAGTTAATACTTTGAAATTATATTAAATAAATTATAACTCTATTATAAATTTATATTTACTAGATTATTTCATTACAAGTCTTTTGTTTTAATATTTTATAATTCTTTACTTAGTTTTCTAATTTTCTTTTTAACATACTAACATAGTAATATTTAAGTTTATTAAATAAGTCAAAAATCTAGTCGTTGCAAACTTTAAAAACATAGTAATTTTCAAAAAACTAGAATTTTTCTTTTAAAAAAAAATACACTTAAGGCCCACGAACCCGTCCCGTCCCGTCCCGTTTGGTTGGCGGGACGGGACGGGACGACCGTTTCGTCCCGTTTGTCCCGTCCCGTTTCGTCCCATCCCGCCCCGCCACCGTCCCGCCTAAATCTCGTCCCGTCCCGTCCCGTCCCGTTAAAATCGTCCCGTCCCGTCTCGTCCCGTTGGACACCCATAGCTTGGAGAGAGGCATAGGAGTTTTCCAAAGCACAAATCTTATAAGAAGAAACTCGAAAGTCTTCTTGTGCTTGTGTCAAATTCTGCACGAGCTCCCCGGCGTAAGCTTCTTTTTCACTTAAGAGAACCTTTAACCCTCTGTTCTCTTCACTAGCCTTGGATAGCTGCTCTGAGAAGGAAATTTCAAGATGAGCTCTTTCTTTATCTGCTTGACTCAAAGAAGCCTTTACAATCCCCAATTCTGAAGTCAAGGCCTGAACCTGCTGCTCCAAGGTACTCTTACTCTCTTCCAAATATTCCATATCAATTTGCAAGCTTTCGTACTGTTCCTTCCAATTGAAATGCCTCTAGCTGAGAATCACGTGCAATCTGCTCTGAGGAGGTAACTCTTTTCATCATCTTTGTGCCGATAAGATTGGCCTAAAAAAGAGAAGAGAAATAAGAATCCCAAAGATAGAAAAATCATGAAGTAAAGAAAAAAGAGAGAGAAGATGAACACCTTCAAAGTGGCATGCGCAGTATCATTCATCAACGTCAAGGAACTATGGCTCTCCAACTTAGCCTTCTCAATCGGACCAATTAAGGGCTTTAGCCACACGTCCGCCTGATCGGATTTCCTTAGAAGATTACCCTTAACGGGAACTTCAATAATCACTTGCCTCATGGCACCACTTCCACTTGAGGAGCCAACCTCTACATGGTGAGAAATTAGAGGGGGAGTTGTCGAAGGAGGAACGGTAGAAGTAGTAAAGACAATAGCCTGGGGGGAGTAGAAACAGCCGAGACTGGCAAAGAAGGAATCACAGACACAGGAGTAGAAAAAGAAGCCAGGGGAGCTTCATCAGAAACTGGACCTAAGCTTTCATTACCAAACCCGCTAATAAAAAGCAGCTCAACTAAATCATAAGCAGCAGCGGGAGCAGCGTCATCATCAGATATGGGAATCACCACCGGGGCCTCAGCAGGCTCGGTAAAAGGAATAGAATGGCGGGGGGATGCTTCAGCTTCATCATCAGAAATGATGCGTCTTCGAGCTCGAGGCCTTCTCACCAAAGAGCCCCCAGCTTCCTCTTCTTCAGAATCTTCTTCTTCAAATACTTTTCTCTTTGATGAAGAACCCAATACTATTTCTTGAGCCCTCTCTAAAGAGATACGGGTTCCTGAAGCGATGCGGGAAGCCGCAACCGCCTCGGCAATAACTCCCCGAATAGCAAATCCTGATAAAAAGAAAGATTGAAATTAGTGTTAAAAAAGATTATATGAAAAATGAAATAATACAAAAACTCTTACCATGAGTTTTTACTTTCCAGCCAAATTAGTTAGAAAGTGTCTTCCAAGACCTACCATCCATTGGTGCAGTCTTTAGTAACTTGTCTACCCAATCACAGAAATTGGGAACACTTTCCACAACTCCCATGGTTGCTAAAAAAAGGCAAAATTAGAAAAGTTGACAAACTTGAAGAAAAAAGGCACGAGAAAATTAAAAAGACTTACGTGCAAAATTCCACTTCTCAGGGAAGGGAACATTATCTTCACCCACTAAACCAACAGTGGGGGCAGCAACAAACCTGGCATACCAGCCACGGTCTTTGTCATTCTCAGGGCTCACTAAAACTCTCTTACTCATGGCTGCTAGTGTGAAAATACTATTGCGGAAGAGCCTAGGGGAATAAAGGTGAATCAAATGAGGTAAAGTAAAGGGAACACCAGATGTGTTGGTCAAATGCCTCAAACAGGCAACAACCCTCGATACAATTGGGCCAATTTGACCAAAACAGACATCAAAGAAACGACAAAACTCAAGAATAACAGGGTCAATAGCCGGTTTAAACCCTAAGGTGAAAAGGTATGTATAAATAAAAGAATACCTAGTTATGTAAGAGGTAATTGTTTGGTTTGGATTGGGGATAATAATAGGAAAGTCACTACTCCAATGGCAATCTCCACGAACTACAGGAATCAAAACTTCTGTAATTTAAGTGGGAAAGATATCAGCACGATCTAAACCAGAGACTTGATTCCTAAGAGATTCTCTATCATGATAAAAAGATAGTTCCGAAGGAACTATCTCCTCTACTGTAGGCTCACAAAGAGGTTCAGAAGGTTCTTTACCTCTTGAAAAAGATCTTTGTGAATGTGAACCCCTAGTTCTAGAAGAAGGACCAGAACTAGGAGAAGGAACAGAAGAGCCGCGTGCAGATGAAGATCCTAAATTACGGAGTCTACCTCCTCTTCTGCTCCTACTGGGAGCGTTAGGGAAGTTATCAACTATGGAGACCTTACTAGGGTTAGGGTTTGATGAAGACATGATGATACGAGGAAGAAGCAAACAAAGATTTGAGAAATTGAATATTCGATAAACTTTATGTGGTAAAGACAAAGAAGGAAATTATATTTATAAGCAACCGTCAAGAGAAAAAGTGTAATGATGGAAGGACCATAATAATGATAACTGATGCTTCGTAAGCAGGGAAGTCGTAAATAAAGCCTAAAAAAGTGTTGCAGAACTAATAAGAAGGTGACACGTGTGAAACGTATTGAATGGAAGTGACAATTGAAGCGTCGATTCTGTCATAGCATTAACGGTGACAAAAATTCTCGTTTTAATGAAATCCACTTCCCAAATATTCAATTGATGAATAAATGGCAAGTGGGGGGGACTATCTGTATTGGAAAAATTGAGTTTACATATTAAAGAGGTATGAAGATGACGTGTCGTGACACATAGACTGGTCAAAGAATTACAACTGGTAAGGAGGCACGAGTTGCAATAGATACGAGCAGAGAGCAAAAGAAGAGACACGAGCGGTTATTCAAAAAGAGGCAACGCTCGTACCTGTTCAAGTCATTTAAGTCCAAGAGTCAAAGAGAATGAATCTGACAGCACACGAGAGTCCAGATACAGTATTTAATGAGCATTAAATACCAAAAACGTTAGAGAATCTGTATTAAATATAATGATTATATAACGTAGCATTTAATGTCTTTAATTGCCCATAATAGCCTTATATGACATAGCCTAAATGCATATCTCCAAGGTACCTATAAAAGGGAATTAACTGATCAATTGTAGGGATACGAAACACTATCTGAATATACTTTGGTTTACTTGTTTCTCTCGATTACATTCTTGCTATCCAAATTGTTTTCTTTTATACATTCTTTCGATTATCAGTAACCCGTGTTCTTCTAAATTATAAGCTTTAATCGAAATTCCATTTTTTGGTTAAACATTATTGTTTTCTGTTTGTCTGACGTAGAAGAAGCAGATATATATAGAACAATCAAGTTTTACACAATTTTGGAATCCAATCATATTTCAAGTGGAAGGGTCCAAGCATATTTTAATCTTGTCCATTGTTGGTTGCCAGGACGGTGTACTCATTTGTAGTTTCACAAGAGCTGCTTTTTGCTCCTCGAGATCTATAATTGTAGGAATAAGTGCAAAAATAACTTTATCAATCTCAAAACATAGTTGCACACTAAAAAGCTCCTTTATTAACGAGAACCCACCACACTCGGATTATTTAAATAAAAAAATTAAAAAGTAAGAGGTGTCATTGGATTTCTTTGAAAAATTAATCACTTTTTTCAGTGGATGACCCAGCAAGAAAATTTTAGGAATTTAATTTTCTAAACTCTCACTAGACTAAGTGGAAAAATTAGCTAAATCATTTCCATCCATATCCTTAACAGATTTAATTTAATGTGATTGCCAGCTTTGAACCAAATAAAAAAATTAGGGCAGCCCGAATTATAAGGCATCTCGCATACACACGAGGTCTGAAAAAGGGCCTCATCCCAAGGGGTGTAATATTTACTCTGTTTCCACGGCTCGAATCCGTGACATTAGGTTACACAGAGACAACTTTACCGTTGCTCCAAGGTTCCCTAGATAAAATAAATAGATTAAAAAAGTAAGCACAGCAAAGTAGACATGATCATTATCCTGTAAAGATATAAATAACGAGGAAATATGAATTTAATTATGGCTAAATATCTATAAAAAAAAAAAAACAGAGAAAATTATCATATTTTTTCCTTGAAAAGTGGAACATGGAGAAAATGCATATCGAGTACCTCCCCTTAACTACTACCACCTCTTCAACATGACCTATACAGTTTTGTCCCCAAAAAACAAGAATTATTCACACGTTTGAACTCATATTTCCTCCCTTTACATAGTCATCTTTTGCTTACTTTCTCAATTTGTCAAATCAAGAATAACATTCAGAAAAATATGAGAACTTATTCACATCTCTTGATCTTCCTATGTTTCGCCTTTTATCTATCTTTTTCAAGTAATAATTCTCTCCCTATATTTTTCCAAAGTTTTTTAAGCTTTCCTTAGCTAAGAATTTATCCAAATATTTAGACTTTTCTAATGTTGTTTATGTTATATGCAGATGGAACTCAACTAATTATAGTGAACAATTGCAAAGAAAGCATATGGCCTGGAATTCTTGCAACAGCAGGGCACGAGACGCCGATCAACGGCGGATTCCATCTCAATATTGGCCAACAAGTAACGCTTGATGTTCCTGAGCTATGGTCAGGAAGAATATGGGGTAGACAAGGTTGTTGTTTCGACGAAAATGGTAAAGGATCGTGTCAAACAGGGGATTGTTCCGGCCTTCTGAATTGTTCAGGGGCCGGAGGAATTCCCCCTGCAACGCTCGTTGAAATGACATTAGGAACCCCAACTAATTCAAGACATTATTATGATGTTAGTTTAGTTGATGGATTTAATATTCCTGTTTCTATGATTCCGATTGGTGGTAGTGCTGGTTGTGGTGTTGCTGCTTGTGAAACTGATCTGAATCAATGTTGTCCTGAATATTTAGCGGTAAAGAGCAAAGGTAAAGCTGTTGGATGTAAAAGTGCTTGTCTTGCTACGAACTCTCCAAAATACTGCTGCACTGGAAAATATGCTAATAGAAATACATGCAAACCAACCGCGTTTTCGCGGCTTTTTAAAACTATATGCCCTAGGGCATATAGCTATGCTTTTGATGAATCTACTGGACTTAAGAATTGTAAAGCGCCGCGGTATCTCATTACCTTTTGTCCTCCCAATTAATGGATCGAGCATCTCTATAGTCGCGGTATAGTGTACTTAAGAAAATAGACCTTGGGCCTAACGTGTACGTTCAAGTGTTTGTTCAGTGTTAATTCACTGTATGTAATTTCTTATCTTTTTCTTATTAGTCTGTGTATTCTGTGTTTTATCAGCAAATAATTCTATATGAATTAGTATTTACACGGCTTTAGTATGTCATATTGTCAATTTGCCATGCATTAGCCCACAGGCTTGTTGTCTATTTCTCTTTTCCTAATCCGACGGCTATAAGTGGCTTTAACGATGAATAAAGCTTCTACCAAGATGGAATTCAATTCTAAAACTAAGTTAATAATAATAAAAAGTGGGACAGTATAACTATTCTCACAGGAAATCCGATTTCTATTTGAGTAATACTAATGAAGTTAATCTTTAGATGCCTTTTTTCGTAATTTGATTCTTAGAATACTTTTTGAAAAGATTGCCTGAAGACAAATTGTTTCTCTAATACTCAGAAAAAACACTTCTTAAATAATTTAGCCAAATATAAATTGCTACTTTTCTAAGTACCTCTTCTCAAAGACTGAAACTCCATTTGAAAAGTCACTCAAATCACAAACTTTGGGAGTTCTGCCAAACGGGCCCTTTGGTTGGGAATCTTCAGTTGGGCCCATTGTATCACATAGTTGGGGCATTTGCATCTATACCCGCTTTTTGTGTCACGTTTTAACTTGTGCCCGCTTTGCAAAAAAAATTGCAAGTGTACCCGCTTTTTCGCATAACTTCAGCATACGGGGCTGAAGTAGCAAAGGCAATCACGCAAAACTCCAGCATTCTAGAAGTCAGGCCTGAAGTTCAGCTCTAGATGTTTTGTAACTGGCGAACTTCAGCTCTAGAACAGAAGTTTTTGTTTTTGTAACTGGCGAACTTCAGCTCTAGAGCTGAAGTTTTTGTTTTGTAACTGGCCAACTTCAGCTCTAGAGCTGAAGTTTTTGTCTTTGTAACTGGGAACTTCAGCTCTCTAGAGCTGAAGTTTTGTCTTTGTAACTGGGGAACTTCAGCTCTAGAGCTGAAGTTTTTGTCTTTGTAACTGAGGAAGTTATTTAGTTCATTGTATGTTTTCTACCCCAAATGACTCTTTTCACATAATTTTTACGATTCTTTTACTGCAATTGTTATGGCCCAGTTCTCAACTTAATCCCACACTTTCCTGCAAAAATTGACATTAGTCATGGGTCATGTAACCCTCTGTGTAGTGAACCCACAGCTTCATAAGAACAGTCAATAGGAGTTCACATACCAGAAAGACTTTCTTTCAAGGAGCCATTTGGTATATATCATAGACCAGCATTTGTTCACGTTGCGCGAAACAAAAGCCTAAAAGTCTGACAACATTTTTGTGATGAAACCTAGAGAGAATCACAATCTCAGTTTTAAACTCAAGGGCACCCTGCTTAGATTGACAAGATGACGCTATCAGATGTTTTATTAGCATAAGAAGAAGAAGAAGAAAATGGAGGAGGTGAAGGAGGAGGAGAAAGGGGGCTGAAGTTATTTAAAAAGTGGGTACAAGTTAAAAAGTTTTTAAAAAAATGGGTATAGGTTAAATGGGGGCGACCAAATAGAGCGCCCCGTGCAATTTTTACCACATAGTTAGGTAAAAATAGCACGGGCTACCCAGTTTTTGGACTGGTCATTTAAAAATAGCCGGTGTTTGCAAAGTCATTGAAAAATAGCCACTATTTTGCTGCTACACGGAAAGTTCCAGCATAATATACTGGAGATCGACGCACCTATGTATGAACTTCTAGCATATTATGTTGGAACTCCAACACGCGGAAAGTTCCAGCATAATATATTGGAGATTGGAGCACCTGTGTATGAACTTCCAGCATATTATGTTGGACTCGTATATTATATTAGAGTTTCAGTATATTATACTGGAATTCCAATATATTATGCTGGAGTATTTTCCAGATTTTGAACAGTGTTTACGTTCAGATTTATATTTACATGAAAAGTGGCTAAATTTCGATTACTTTTGAAACTGTGACTATTTTTGAATGACCACTTGTAAATCTGGCTATTTTTTAATTTCTCCCCATAGTTAGGGGTGATTGATGGGAATGGCCTTGTAAGGAGCTGGTCTTAGCCAAATATCCTCAAAGTTGACGGTATTTAAAAAATAGACCCCAACCCGCACACAGTAATTGCTCTTCAGTATTTTTCTACCGAATTGATAGAGTGTGTGCTATATTTACTCTACATATCTGTTAAGTTGTTTATTAAAGTCTATCCAATTGGCAAAATTTTTTGTGTTGTTTTAACAAAGTGTCGAACTTGCAACTTCAGTTTCGATCAATCGACCCCAAACCTGCTCCAAATAATCTCAAATTTGAATAAATCTTTTAATTACCAATACAAACAATCTTCAATCACCAATTTAGTCAAATAACACCAAATCAAAAAGATTCTCTTTGTCTTCTCCATCAGTTTCTCATGGGTTTAAATAAGGTCTATGTGGATGTTAGAAGCAATTTGCTGAATGATGCATCCTTTACCATCTCTTGATTGTGTTTATAACATACTTCTACAACATAAGGCAATTCAGTACAAATGCTCAGTTTCACCCTGATTCTGCTTCCTTCAATGTCAATTCTAATAATGTCAAGTTCACTCAACCTCATCCACAACAGAGACAGTATAATCAAAGGGTGATCTTTGATCAACCTAAGTCTGGTCTTTTCTGTAAATATTGTAAGAAGTCAGGGCACTTGGTTGATAAGTGCTACAAACTCAATGGATTTCCTCCAAACTTCAAATTCACTAAAGGCAGAAAGACAGCTGTAAATGTAGTAGAATCTGACAACTCTTCTTCTCAGAATGTTTCTACCAATTCTATGTCAAATCCTACTCAAAATCAGGTTGATCAAGGATCTGTGGTACATGGATTGACACAGCAGCAGTATGCTCAATTGATATCCTTGCTTCAGCAGACCCACGTTTCTGATTCTGGACCTCAACTCAGCACCTTAAGTTCTGCAAACATTGCTGGTACTTTACTGCCTAAGAATGTTGTCTATAGTTTTAATTCTTCTTTGCTGAGTAAATCAGATTCTTTAACCTGGATAGTTGACTCAGGTGCATCTGACCATATGACATCTAATAAAGAGTATCTCATTAATATCACACCTTTACTTATTCATTTTCTTGTCTCTCTTCCAAATGGATACATGTTTAAATTTACCTGTACAGGATCTTTTGTTTTAACTGCGTCCATTATCCTTCACAATGTTCTTTATTTGCCTTCATTTAAACATAATCTCATTTTTGTACACAAAATTACTGAACAGTTTGACTGCATAGTTCACTTTACCAGAATCTCATGTATTATACAAGGCCCTTCTCTGAAGAAGCCTCTGGATGTTAGTAAACTGGATAACGGCTTGTACAAGTTTGTTTGGGAATAATCATCTCAACTCCAACACCCTTTGACAAATGTTTCAGACAGCAACAACTTTTCATCTTTGTGTAGCTCTAGTTCTTTTCCTTCTTCTTCTGTACATATAGATTCTGCCACCTGTAATAAAGCTGCGATGAATAAAATGAATGTTGTTTGGCATAACAGACTTGATCATGTTCCTTTTGTTAAAATGAAGAGTATTTCTGTAATCTCCTCCAATATTTCTTCTACACAATCCTTTCCTTGTACAATTTGTCCTATGGCTAAGCAAACTAGACTACCATTTCCAGAAAGTTCCATTCATACTTCCAAACCTTTCCAACTCATTCATGTTGACACTTGGGGACCATACCATACTCCTACTTATTCTGGCTCTAGATATTTCCTCACCATTATTGATGATTTCTCTAGAAGCACTTGGACTCATCTCATGGGGTCTAAAAGTAATGCGTTTTCCTTGTTTAAATCTTTTGTTGCTATGGTAAAGAATCAGTTTCATGTTACAATACAGAACATTAGATCTGATAATGCATTAGAATTAGGCTCTGGTCTTGCTGCTACTTCCTTTTTCTCTGAACATGGGATTATTTATCAGACTAGTTGTCCCCACATAAGGATGGCAATGGGTGGGGCGGGGCGGGGCGGTTGCGGCACGGGTTTGGGAAAACTCACAGAAATTTCAACGGCCCCGCCCCGCTTAATTTTTTTCTAAAACAAACAAGTTTGACATTTTATTATTTTATAAAATGGAGAATTTAATAGAATCACATAAACATAAAACTGAGAGAGTATTACGCTGATCTTCCAAAATAAATGGGTTACTATCATTTCCTATTATTAATACAATATCTTGACTTATGTAATATCATTTTGGTGAGACTTATGCAAATTGGTTAATTATAAATCAAAATAGTATTCGTGCTAGTGAAGAAGAATGTGAAATTGTAGTTGAAATGATTGCTTTGCTTCAAAAAAGATAAAATTCAAAGTTGCCCCGCATTTAACCCGCAACCCGCCCTGCCACCTTTAAAAAATTTAAAAATTATTTTAATCCGCCCCGCACCCGCATAAGAGTAAACGCGCCCCGCCCCGCATCAAACAAAACCCGCCCCGTCCCGCACCCACCCTGCCCTATTGCCATCCTTACCCCCACACCCCTCAACAAAATGGTGTGGTGGAAAGAAAACATAGAACATTACTTGAAGCCTCTAGGACTTTACTGTTTCAGTCCAAGGTTCCTATAAGATTTTGGGGGGATTGTCTATTAACAACTACCTATATTATCAACACATTTCCTTCCAGATTACTCAACAATAAGTCTCCTTATGAGTTGTTGTATGGTAAAGCACCAAGTTACTCTCACCTTAGAACTTTTGGGTGCCTTTGCTATGCCACTGTTCCAATTCCCAAAGAGACAAATTCAAGCCTAGAGTTTTTCCTTATATGTTTTTTGGTTACTCTTTTGCTAAAATGGGATACAACAACAACAACTCAGTGAAATTCCACTAGTGGGGTGTGGAGAGGGTAGTATGTACGCAGACCTTACCCCTACCCGAAGGGGTAGAGAGGCTATTTCCGAAAGACCCTCGGCTCAAATTGTATAATTTGCAGTCTAAACAATTCTTCATTTCTAGAGATGTTGTCTTTCATGAACACCATTTTCCTTTTTCTTCTGATTTCTCTTTCCTCGATTCCTCTGAGTATTCTTTACTACCTGCATCACAATCTCCACCTTCTACTACTAATATTGA